TTTAATGGCTTTTGTTTTCTCAGGTTGAGGTCTGATGCCTTGCTTGCTTAAAATATAACCAAGAAAACTAATATCTGTCAGCATGAATTGACATTTATCTTTGTTTATCTTTAACCTTTTTCACCAACTATTTTCAAGACTTTATCAAGTGTTTTAAGATGTTCAGTGTCATTCTTACCAGTTATGTACACATTGTCAAAGTAAACACAAACATTTGGAATATCCTTAAAAATACTGTCCATGACAGCTTGGAAAATTCCAGGGCTAGATGATATGCCAAAACATAGTCTTTCATATTGGTAGAGTCCTTTATGTGTGTTTATTGTCGTATAGACTTTTGAATCTGGATGTAGTTCTAGTTGAGTGTAAGCATGACTAAAGTCCAATTCAGTGAATTTGTCTCCTCCTGCTAAATTCAAAGAAATTTCCTCAATGTTAGGAATAGGATACCTATTTAGCTCTATTTGCTTATTCAGTGTAGCTTTATAGTCTCCACAAATTCTTACAGAACCATCCTTCTTTAACACTGGCACAATGGGCGTTGCCCAATCAGAATAGTCTACCTTCTTTATGATGCCATTGGATTCCAATCTACTTAGCTCATTTTCAATTTTATCCCTCATTGCATAAGGTGGAACTCTTGGATTTGTGTCTTTAATGCTTATCTTCACTGTTCTATCATTTAGTAATCCTGAATTACCAAAAACACCTTCATTTTCAGATATTACTTTATCTATTGAAGTAAAACTAGATTCTCTTGCTTTGTTCACGGAAAATATACTCTCCCAGTCTAACTTAAGATCAACTAACCAGTTCCTACCTATAATGGTGGTCCATTTCCTTCAACCACAAGAAGAGGAAGTTTAACACTTTGACCATTATAGCTTACATGAACCATACACTCTCCTATCACCGGAACATTGTCACCTGTGTATGTTGTTAGGCACTTGTGACATAGTTGTAGAGGCACTGATCCTCCTGTGACAGCGTCAAAGTCCTTCTTTGCGATGACGGTTAGAGATGCTCCTGTGTCAAGTTGGAAGATGATGCTCTTACCGTTTATACAAACTGGTACATTGATGGGAGCATGACTTTTTGATTTCACAGAGAACAGGTTGAACTCCGGCTGCAAATCAGTTTGAGCATTTTCACTGATAGAGTGGTTCATTGGTTGGGTTAGGTTGTCTTGGTGAGAGTTAACATAGTGCTGCCTTTGGTTGCGGTACTGTCTTGACTCGCTAGATTTAGCAACAGACGAAGACTTTGCAAAGCAGGCCTTGGCAATGTGACCTTGCTTACTGCACGGTTGCTGACTTGAACTTGCACCGATGAGATGCATGGGGACCATTGCATCGATGACATTTTTGATAATTATTACTAGATTTAGATCTAAGATTTGAACGTGCAGGCTGTTTAGCATAAGTTGAAATGCTCTGATGGGGTTGGTGTTTGTTGACTAACCTGCTGTTTACTGCATGGATCCCTGAGGGTGCTAGAGATCTCGCCGCCTCGGATGACTGATGGAACGAAGTTGCTGGTTGTATTGCTTTTTCCAAAGTTAGATCTGACTCGAGAAGCAACTTTCTTTGAACATCAGGGCTGTTTACACCTGTCACAAACTTTTCACATAGTCTGTCGGACAGAGTGTCCCCGAATTCACAGAATCTACTTAGATGACGTAAAGCAGCAGTCCTACCGTCAAATCTGGCTCTACACAGGAACTTTGATGGTACAGGCGCATGGTGGTCTGTTAGCAGTTTGCTCAGCTCGTTAAAGCTCTTGGTAGTTAGACTAGCTGGTGCGCATAAGTCCTTTAATAGCCTAAATTGTTGAGGCCCTATGACTGTTAACAAAACAGCTCTCTTTTTGGCTTCTATCGTCACGTCGTTAGCTTCAAGGTAAAAGCTTAACCTATCTAGATAATCATGAATGGTTTCATCATTCGAATCAAATTCTTTTATTTGGCCATACAGCGCCATTATACTAGAAATACTTAGCCAATATGCTCTAGCAAGCTTCTTTTTAAGTAAGCATGTGCTCTTTTAAGTCGATTGATTTATCCTCGTCGCCAGTTGTGGTGGATTGGAGCTGTTCTATTATAATACACTGACGAGAAGCCACGCGTTGATTGTTAACTAGTCTTTATTCAGCCATGATGGAAAGAGGAAGAGGAAGTGACGAGACATAAACATATATATAACAAGGGACATCACTCAAGATAACATTATAAATATAATACTAATACAAGAAGAGTGAGTTCCCTTGACTTCACAATTCTTAATATATTACAAAAAGCGTGGGTGTCTTCCTTAACATTAGTAAAGGTATCCAATAGATACTAAAGTGACCCACGCTTTTCTTTATAGTTATTTAAATAGTAGTCTATAATTTATTTTCTACTTTTTAGTGCATTATTACATAAAAGCTTGTTATTAAAACGTTTTTTATGAATTTTTATTTTATGCACTTAATGTACTCTTTATTAAATACTATTTTTAATGAATAGCATTTTAGGAGCTGCTCCTACATGTCACTATGTTTAACTTTATATTTGCATTTATGTTAGCGTTTAAGATTCTGATGATGATGGCGTTTGCTTTTTTTCGTTATTGTTTGGTGTATGTTTATATTTAATCTTCGCGTTTATGTTTGCGTTAATAGTTATGTTAGCGTTTATGTTCGCATTAATGTTTGCATGTGCGTTTATGTTTGAGTTTATGTTTGCCAGTATGGTCATGTTTGCGTTTATGTTTGGGTTTGAGTTTATATTTTCTCAAACGTCCATAATTACATATAAACCTATAATTGAAAATTGTACTGCTAATTAGCCCATAAGTCACAGTCCTTTACAGATAAATGTATTTCAACGCCAGTGCCGTTATAGCCATTATAATATATTTAAAGAAAGTCATTTAGTTTCTCCTTTTTATTGCATAATTATATAAAAGTATTGTTTTAGTTAGGTAGATGCAATTTCATATATAAGTACAAGATTTTATATTTAAATTATTTAGGCCTATAGATTTTGATAACCGGAAGTGGTAGGCTACGTTACTGTATTTTTGGTTTCTAAAATGGCAATAATTGGAGTGAAGTTTCAGTTAGTTGGATGGAAATTTTAAAATATATTTATGATCTTATTCTCTTGTTCTTTCAAATTTTTAGTAATTTACGGTGCCCGGAAACAGTGTTTATGATTTCTCAAAAAAAGATAACTTCTACATGACCTAATTCTTACTAACTTTTCACATAGGTCACGACTAAATGACAATGCACAGTGACATAAGTTTAAAATGTGACTTAATAAAATGTTTAACTTTTTAAAATTAAATTAATGTTTGCTTTATAAAGTACTATTTTTCGTTCATTTGGCGCGCACTTTTTTTTAAAGATATTAAAGGCAAATATTTCTTTAGACCGATTGCACTGAAAGAGCCCCCCCCCCCCCTAAACGACAAAGAATTATAGCAGAGATCACTCCCGCTCTATTTAACTACTAGCGTAGATTTATGTCGTCTGCAAATTCTAGGTCTTCTATGCTAGTTGTTAGTGTCATTTTTCTTGCTTTGTTGTTTGCGCCACCAGCCAGTCAAGTACTGGGTTAAAAGCAATGGGGACAGAACTCATCCTTGTTTAACTCCTGTCTCAACCATAAATGGGTCAGTGACAGTGTTTCTTCCTGACTTTTTTTTCTCCGGGAGGGGGGGGGGCACTTGAAATTTTCAGGGAAGGGGGGTAGACTTTCTTTCGGGGGGGGGGGGGGCGGACACTGTTAAAAGTATATATTCTCTATATAAATTTTATTTCGTTCGGGGGGCGGGGCGGTAGACTCCCCCCCCCCCTCAAAGAGATGTCTGGAAGAAACTCTGGTCAGTGATGTGTATACCTCATAAACCTTTGAGTTTGAACCCTTCATATATGATTTTGATGGCACTGATGATTTTCCAGCGAGTGAGTGATAGAAGTGTGATGCCTCGCTACAAACTTCTATATTTCTAGTCCCTGATTGTTCTTGAAATGCCCCCACAACCCTTACTATTATATAAAAATAAGATTAAAGAGATCGTACACCCGCTTTTTAAAAACATGACGGCAATAATTTAACTTGTAAATAGCAAAAGATCGATAGTGAAAGTATTTCTATTATCGTTGATATAAAGCAGGGGTCTCCAAACTTTTCAGTCCGAGGGCCGCATTAACTATCAAATTTCAGTTCGGGGGCCAGTTTCTTCCAGGCATGTCATTGATTTTTCTGGACAAAGCTCCTCACCATTATCAACAAACGTTTTTTCCGTGGACAAAAAGATCTCCGAGGGCCGGATGAGAGGACCTCGCGGGCCGCATCTGGTCCGCGGGCCGTAGTTTGGAGACCCCTGATATAAAGGGACATGTTTAGCCCCTGTTAGAATCCGGGGCCTCGGGATACCGCCTGCTCAGCCCTCCCTCCTCCTCCTCCAACCCTTCCCAATCAGCATTTTCGCGAGCACTGCGCTGTCTGCTGCGACGAAAGCCCGCTTCATCTTTATACAACGCGGCACAAGCCCGTTGTTTGGCTTATACCATTTTCTAGGCCTAGCAATGCGATAATTATTTTGTTTTAATACGAGGTTAAGATTTGCTTAAGAAGCGCACATCAAACATAATTATATAATGCCAAGTACGGTTATTAAAACTTAAACATAAAATATATAGCGCTAGCACATTCTTGCTCTATTTTGTCTCAACAATTCTCCCAGAACTCAGCTAGATCTAGGACTAAATAAAATAATAGTAATAAAAAAAAAAACCCTCGCTTACCCATAACTCCCTGCGCTCACGTAAAAAAAAAATACAAAAAAATACAAAATGGCACTGGCCAGAAATAGTGTGTCGCGCAGGGGCTCCAAAAATGATACAGATAAGGATGACGAAGAAGCTGAAAATAATGGATATATTCAAATATTTGTGAAACCCTTAGAACAAGGCAGCTGTAGCTATTTATTTAAGTGGTTAGGTGCAAGCAAAGCTAATTTAAACGCTCAACAACTTGGAGTGTGTTACGGATTAGTAGCAATAGCTGTCGGTGTGTCGTTGTACCAGCTTCTACGAAGCGATGTAGGAGTCTTATTTCAGCGTTTATGTTCCCTTATTGTGCCAATGTTTTGCATTTTATGTGCATTCTATTGGCTTTCTTTATATTTTCGACGAACGTGGAGCAACACTAGTGTTTATTTATTATTTTGTTCATGTTACTTGGGCGAATTTTTTGCTCAAATATTTCTCCGTGATGGGGGAGACGGTACCAAATTACCAAATGGGGGGGCTAATGCGCATCAAAACAATGGGGAAATCATATCTTCCTTATCCAATTACACAACACAACCTCTAGTCATAGTGTGTGTACTGCTTTTTATAAGCATAGCTAGTGTATTCTCAAGCTTAGAAACAAGCCACAGTGCTGGTGTCATTTTGCTAGTGAGCTTCACACGATTCTTGGCTTGCTCAGCACTGCAAGATATACCGTATGGCTTACGCCCTTTCATTGCTTACTCCTGCGGGTTTGCAGGGAATATTGTAGCAAAATATATGGAAACTGTTTTAAAACCACAAATACAAAATTTTACAACGCAAGATGGAAAAATTCCTGTTATTAAAAGAAGAAGGTCCAGTTCATCAAGTGCTCACACATTCTCGGCACACAGATCAGCTCGAAGAACATCTTTACCAGCTCTAATTCAGAAAAGTCAGGTTAGTTTATTTTCTATTTTGTATAGAACTTAAAAGAGTATTCCAGATCTATGACAGTAGACTCTCCTAAACTCCTAAAGAAAGGTGTTTTAGAATTAGGTTGTTTAGTTTTGTGTTATCAAGTTTAGTGTACTGTATAACTTAAGGGTTAGGGCCTTGGTAGGACTCATGTTAACTCTCAGCAGGCTTACAGTTTTTAGTGATATTTTCATTGGTAGGCAGTATCATGAGTATGCTTGTTTCTTCTGACCATAAATATAGTTAGAACAATAGCACACACATTATTATATACAGTTTAGTGGTTCTAGGTGCTTTGACCGTTAGTGGAATGATCACAGTGGGGCTTTGACCACCATTGGACATGGACCACAGCAGGGGTTTGACCATAATGACTTTACCCCTAGGACAACACTAGGTGGTTTACACATATGTAGTTTTTAAAATTTTAATAAATTGTTAGGTCTATTTAGGTTAAATTCATAATAATTTACACATTTTTATACAACTTTCCACTTAGAGTTGCCATTAATAGAAATTAACCTGTAGGGCCTACTAAAAAAATTTGCACAAATAAATGATGTAGATCTAGCCTTCATGAAAATACCTAGCACCTATAATTGAAAATAAACTGGGAGTGATCTCCTCTAAACTTTCTCGAATATTCTTATATAATACTACGTGGGATGGCAACTCGGAATATAGACATGATTTTTAATTACTTAAACTTTTAAAAATAAGAATAGAATCTCGTAGAAAAAAAGAATTGCGTACCAAGCGAACGCCAAAACAAAATATGCATAATAGTGCGGAATATTATTAGTACTTTATAAATTTACATGCGTTTTTTTTGAGAAATCTGTAATAGCGTAAATTACTACTTCCAGTCAACGGAAATTACTCAAAATTTGATAGAAGGCAGAGGATTAGATCTTTTACTTACATATGAAATTTCATTTATCTATCTGAAATAGTACTCAAGTTATAGACTTCTGAAAAATTCAAAGTAGAAAAAGTACCACTTCCGGTTAATGGAAATCGCTCAAAAGTTGATACGGATCTACGATTTTGATAAAATACTTATATATGAAATTTCATCAACCTAGCTGTAACGGTACTCAAGTTATCATGTTTACAGACACATACACAGACATACGGACAAGATTGCAAAAATATGTTTTCCTACTCAGGGAGGTGTAAAACGTCGAGATTTGTGGATTTTTTTTTTTGCACGATTACAAGACTTTCTCTATACTTTGTATATACGAGAAAGTAAAAAAGCAATGCCTGTAAATATAATATAGTCTAAGAATATATATATCTATGATTAGCTAAATGTCACTAAATGACTGATGTGTAATAGCATATGTCAGTTCATCTGTTTGACCATATGCCTGAACAGCAACTAGTACATTTTGAGTGGTCTAGATTTATACTTGGTGAATAATCATATTTTATTACACCATGCCGCACTATCAAATATTATTACACATCTTTTTATCCCTTGTTAAGTAAATCCTTTCCATGTATGGACAAAACACCTGTGGTCAAAGCCCTGTTGCGGACATATCACCTGTGATCAACATTACAAAGATCCTCTGTGGTCAAACCACCTATGGTCAGTGCCCCTATGCCATGGTCAAAAGGACCTGTGGTCAAAGCTCAGCATACCCATTTTGTAGGTAAATGATTTGTGTTTTATTTTACAGAAGGGTTTTAGGTGTTAACAGTTTTAATTATTTTATTTTATTTTGTATCCTAAAAGTAGTAAAAGTAAAACTGATGGTTTAATTTTTTTTAAAAATAATAATAAAATCATTGTAATAACAGTTCCTAAGAAGAAGAAAAATAGTTGCTAAAAACTGAGTGAATTTAATAATGTACTAGAATCATATATGTACAATCTTGACACATTTCAAAGCACTATCATTACTATCAAGTCATTGATTTTAATTTTTCACATATTAAATGAAGATGATCTTAAATTGCACTATTTGGACCTGCACCCAATTCTTTTGGCAAACATTGGTAAAAAAAATTCATAAAAAACGTTTTAATAACAAGCTTTTTTTAATGATGCACTAAAAAGTAGAAAATAAATTATAGACTACTATTTAAATAACTATAAAGAAAAGCGTGGGTGTCTTCCTTAACATTAGTAAAGGTATCCAATAGATACTAAAGTGACCCACGCTTTTCTTTATAGTTATTTAAATAGTAGTCTATAATTTATTTTCTACTTTTTAGTGCATCATTACATAAAAGCTTGTTATTAAAACGTTTTTTATGAAATTTTTTTCAGTACTTTACATGTTTTATCTACAATAGAGTTACATGACTAAAAACCATTGCGCGCCTACTGAATATCACGTTCAGTAGGCGCGCAATGGTTTTTGAACGCAGCCATTACGTGGTCGTGATGGCGCAGCTATTGATGACGCGTGTGGTGTGGTTGGCTAGACATGCCTACTAATTCGGTCCAAATTTTAATTAATTCATAAAAAATCAATTAGGCATCCAATTAAGTCAAATTTAGTTTCAGATTGCATTGTCTTCATGTCTTGACCCACGTGCCAACTGTGAATCGTATCGGTCAAGTAGAACTGTCCGAATTTTCACTCCTGCGTTTCTATCTAGACTGACGACAGACAGAATGACGAGGAAGTGAGTTAAATAAAAGCTTGTAAAAATGGAATCAAGCACACAAATTAGTAGATGTAATGATAAAATTGAAATATTTGCTTCCTATTAAATTGGGTACACTTTCAAAATGGCCTTATCAAAACGACCCTGACATATTGGCTCCTGACAAAACAATCCACTCAAAATAGCCCTGACAAAAAGGTCCCTACATATTGGCTCCCCTCATATTGACTCGCATCATATAAGTAAATATTTAGTACAACCCACCAACCACATGCATTTCCTACCTCCACTGCCACCATAAAAAGTAAAGATTCCTTTTTAGACTTATTGAATTGATGTATTAGGCAGATATATTTCATATATTTCTTGACCTCAGCATATGAGGGGATAGTGTGGTTTACCTCCATAACCTCATTTAAATACCTGAATAAAAAAAACTTCCATGAACCAACAAGCAATTCATAATGAAATCAAATAGAGTTTTTAAACAGCAATGTGCCACTAATTAAATTTTTTTCCAATGGTTTATTTTTAAACCCCAACCCCCCCCCCCCCCCCCCCCATAAGACCTGTTGCTTAAAAAGAAGCCCAGGAGTTGAAATGTATTAATGGTATACATTGAGTTTACAGGATAAACATTTTGTTTTGATGGTATACATTGAGTTTACAGGATAAACCTTTTGTTTTGATGGTATACATTGAGTTTACAGGATAAACCTTTTGTTTTGATGGTATACATTGAGTTTACAGGATAAACGTTTTGTTTTGATGGTATACATTGAGTTTACAGGATAAACCTTTTGTTTTGATGGTATACATTGAGTTTACAGGATAAACCTTTTGTTTTGATGGTATACATTGAGTTTACAGGATAAACGTTTTGTTTTGATGGTATACATTGAGTTTACAGGATAAACATTTTGTTTTGATGGTATACATTGAGTTTACAGGATAAACGTTTTGTTTTGATGGTATACATTGAGTTTACAGGATAAACCTTTTGTTTTGATGGTATACATTGAGTTTACAGGATAAACCTTTTGTTTTGATGGTATACATTGAGTTTACAGGATAAACATTTTGTTTTGATGGTATACATTGAGTTTACAGGATAAACATTTTGTTTTGATGGTATACATTGAGTTTACAGGATAAACCTTTTGTTTTGATGGTATACATTGAGTTTACAGGATAAACCTTTTGTTTTGATGGTATACATTGAGTTTACAGGATAAACCTTTTGTTTTGATGGTATACATTGAGTTTACAGGATAAACATTTTGTTTTGATGGTATACATTGAGTTTACAGGATAAACGTTTTGTTTTGATGGTATACATTGAGTTTACAGGATAAACGTTTTGTTTTGATGGTATACATTGAGTTTACAGGATAAACGTTTTGTTTTGATGGTATACATTGAGTTTACAGGATAAACCTTTTGTTTTGATGGTATACATTGAGTTTACAGGATAAACGTTTTGTTTTGATGGTATACATTGAGTTTACAGGATAAACCTTTTGTTTTGATGGTATACATTGAGTTTACAGGATAAACCTTTTGTTTTGATGGTATACATTAAGTTTACAGGATAAACGTTTTGTTTTGATGGTATACATTGAGTTTACAGGATAAACCTTTTGTTTTGATGGTATACATTAAGTTTACAGGATAAATGTTTTGTTTTGATGGTATACATTGAGTTTACAGGATAAACGTTTTGTTTTGATGGTATACATTGAGTTTACAGGATAAACGTTTTGTTTTGATGGTATACATTGAGTTTACAGGATAAACCTTTTGTTTTGATGGTATACATTGAGTTTACAGGATAAACGTTTTGTTTTGATGGTATACATTGAGTTTACAGGATAAACCTTTTGTTTTGATGGTATACATTGAGTTTACAGGATAAATGTTTTGTTTTGATGGTATACATTGAGTTTACAGGATAAACCTTTTGTTTTGATGGTATACATTGAGTTTACAGGATAAATGTTTTGTTTTGATGGTATACATTGAGTTTACAGGATAAACCTTTTGTTTTGATGGTATACATTGAGTTTACAGGATAAATGTTTTGTTTTGATGGTATACATTGAGTTTACAGGATAAACCTTTTGTTTTGATGGTATACATTGAGTTTACAGGATAAACGTTTTGTTTTGATGGTATACATTGAGTTTACAGGATAAACGTTTTGTTTTGATGGTATACATTGAGTTTACAGGATAAACCTTTTGTTTTGATGGTATACATTGAGTTTACAGGATAAATGTTTTCTTTTGATGGTATACATTGAGTTTACAGGATAAACGTTTTCTTTTGATGGTATACATTGAGTTTACAGGATAAAC